AAGTAGAATTAGCTTATCTGGTCATGTTTCCTGTCTGGTCTACCTGGTAAGGCTGACAGGAAGGGAGGACCTTTCGGTCCAATGGCTACCCCAGGGGGAAAAGCAACAGGAGAGTTTCTGGAAGAGCAAGTGAAGACAGTGAGTATCTAAACTATTTTTAATTCCATCTCAGCCCCAGATGAGATACTGGTGGATAAACAATTAACCCTTAACATGAACTCTCATCTGCAGTACAAAACACACCTGCCTTGGAGAGCTAGAAAAAGACATTCCAAAGTAAACCATTTCCTCCTCCTCCTTTTTTTTTTTCTTCTTTTGACTACTCAACAGGGCTTTGGGATTGAGGCCATGGGGAGAAAGAGAATAAAGAAGACAGCAAGCCCAATAACCACAGAAGGGCCTTGGATTTAAGTCCCAGGGGCAACTGGGCCACCCCAAGTAAGTCAGCCTTTTATTTTAACCAGCATTTATTTTTGTTTTTATTGTAAACCGCCCAGAATCATTCATTGAGTGAGATGGGCGGTGATTAAATTTGAAATATAAATCTATATTTTATAGATATTTATAAATAAATAAATAAATAAATATCACAGACTCGCAAAGAAAGAAGGGAAAAGACCCCTTTCTGAATTGGGAAATCTGCCTGTTTCTACATTGCAAATCTACATTGCCACAGGCCTCTGTTTAGAATCCTTCAGTGAAGGACCCGCCAAGACATGAGGCATCAAGAAGGCAAGCATTACAGGACCCAAATGACAGTCGAATCCTCAGGACCAGAAGCCAGCTTTATCCTACTTGGCCGCTCCCCACTGCTGGAGCAGCTACGGGTTCCTTACCCAGAGCACCCTCTGTGCCTGGCTCAAAGATGTTGCTGGTGCCACTCAGGCGCTGGATGAAGTCGGCAATGCTCTCCGTGCTGCCCTGCTGGGCACTGAGGGAGCCCATCATGGAGGAAAGCACCCCCTGGACCACGCTGGTGAAGAACTCCGGAGGCAAAGCATCTGCTGAGGCGCCACCACGGCTACCGCTTCCCAGGCCAGCCGGGATCCCCTCCGGTCCACTTTGGGGGGCCGAGGGGGGAGGGGGCGAAGGAGAGGCCGCTGGCTGTGGGGGAGGTGCTGTCTGCTCGGGAGGGTGTGGGGGGCCTCCCCCCATTTGCGTCGCCTGGGAGAAAAGAGAGAAGGGGAGATGGGTGTTTGGAAAGAGCGGCCATAGTTCTGGAGGGCCTTGGCCCAGCTTCTTCCAGCACGAAAGAGGAAAGACGGAAAGGGAGAAGAGCCCTGACAGATGGGGATCCAGAGAATTCGGCACCAGGATTTCTAGGGAAACCACCTGAGAGAAAGGATACTCATGAAGCGATTTCTCTGACAAGGCAGGATTCAGCCCCAGCATCTTCAGACCTACAGTGATTTCTAGAAACAAAAACGGAACCCACACGATGAAAAACGGCTTTGGGATGACCACTGTGCGTGCTTTTGGCTTAGCACTGGCCCAGGGCCTCTGTTCTGGGTTGGGGTTGATCTAGCAGGCCAGACAGGTTGTAATCATTCAGATAAAAGTCCCCGTTGAAATGCTCCTTCTTCTCTAAGCTAAAATGAGGAGAGGC